AACCCTCTGTTAATTGCCTGTTGGTCTTTAAAACCGCTATCTGGGGAGGAGGGGGGGGGGGGTCCACCGCACGCCAACCATTAACCCGCCTCATCAAATTACATTTTTCTTATGTCTAAAAGTGATGAATGAAAAGAAAGGAAACTCACTGTTCCCCAGCCTCTCTACAACGTCCAGTAAAGCTCTCAAAATGAATGCAGGACGCAGAAGTCCACACAAGAATACAGGTGACAGATGTTAAGGCCAAGACTACAGACCATACATGTTTTAACCAGTGCTGTTGGTTTCACATTTACTCCAGCAGTAAGATGTATCATGCCAAAGAAACTGCTTCAAAGCATTCAATGAGACATTTCTAATTTTACACTTTATTACCATGTAGAATCACTACCATTTGATACTAGGTTTTAAAAAAATAGCACAGGCTCGAGGTTGAAACTGCCCGCCATCTAAATGGGAAGACCCAGCATGCCCCAACGCAGTATCAACTAACGTCGAAACATAAAACCCTAGGGCCAGCAGCAGACAGCTTTGTGACAGAAGCTGCCACGAAAAGGACCAGGAAGTGAGCTTCTGGTTGGACACAAGGCCAAGAAATATTCATGTGAAACTGAAGAGCAAAAACCAGGCTGTACGCCAGAAAAATACCTCTCTTCGGTTGACGGATTCCAACCACAGCTGTAAGCGGCCAGTGTGCCATGCTAACGCACATCGCCACTCGCTGCTCCTGAGGTCTCATGTTTACACAGCCACCAAGGCTGTTGACGCACGAATGCGAATCAGGTCACTTTAGCACACGGTCGCTGTGTCTAGCCTTTCATGTCCAGGCATGTGGTAGCGGACAGGCTCACCCCCAGAGGGCAGCAAAACCAAGAGGCTCCACAAGCATCCATGCCACCCCAATGCCACCCCAAAGAATAAAACTCCGCGTGGCCTCAGAATATCTGGGTAAAGTAGGCCTTCTTAAAAGATTCTTCAGCTTAGATCTTACAGTGAGGGAAGTTCCACGTCAAGAACCTAAAGTACCTTACAAAAACCCCCCTGATATTAAAATCACCCCAGGAAATGTGGCTTTTCCCACCATCCAGTTGCAAGCCAGGCCTTTATGTAGAGACTATTTTATACATTAAGTCAGTGTGTTTAAGGTGCTGGTCCCTGTACCTTCCACCAAAGAACATATTATATAGTCAGACGTTCGTGTTCATTAATCACGTACAGCTCAGTGATATTCACTTGGAGCTGTTGCACAAGAACCAGTACCTACAGGCTTCTGATCCATCTAGACTGCACTTCCAGAAATGAGATTTAAAAAAAAAAAACACACACAAAAATAAACAGCCAACAAGCATGAAATATTCAAAGCCTGGTTACAGTTTATACATAAGCAATTCAAGTTTAAGTCCTAGGAAAGAAGCAGCTACCTTGGGAGGCCTCCAGCCTTTACGTCCAGGTTAACACCCTGTTAAAATTATAACTGGTGTATCAATTCTTACCTGAAGCACATGAAGCTCACTGTAAAAATAATGAATTTACTTTATAGGTAACTCTTCAGAGGGAAAAAAAAAACCATAAGAAAATTTCAACATGTCTTCAGTTATATTGTATGGAGCAGAACCGTTCATTGGAGGACACTGTTGCACCTCCTCCTCACCTTAAAAAAAAACATTCCATAAAGCTACAAGCCGCGATAAGCCAGCAGCAAATGTGCCAGTGGCCAAAAGGACAAGCCGCCCCCGCCCCCAAAAATCCCAAACAGCAGGACCCTCCTGACATCTCAAGTGCGCAGAATGGGGTCTAATTTTCACACAAGGGGCACTGGTTCCTCTCCACTCCCTGATTGCCTCGGCCTGCTGCATTCCCATGTGTACTGCCTACATTTAGTCAGGAACAGTGGGAGAAAAGATGTGGCGTGCGCAAATCTTTTAGATACCACAAAAACCTGACTGGGGTACTTCCCGCAAACAGTCTCCCTGGACAACGAGCCGAATGCCCTTAGTAACCTAATCAAATGATCACTCAGCCAGGCCAAGTGTGCAGCTCCTATGCACCAGCAAGCATCTGCACGCTCGAGATAAAGTCAGAGCGGCCTGCATCAAAACAGCACCGATCAAGATGCCGTCACTTGGACAGAGACGTGAGAGACTTGGATAAAGAAACGCAGCCATACAGAGCAGCTATCAAAGGTGATGGTCTGGACAAGGGTCAACCATGTTTTATCGACAGGAATCCAGAAGCCATAGCAACTGCATATTCCGCGGCAGAGCGAGCCCTCACTGAAACTGGGGTGGGCTGTCCCACCCGTCAGGCACTTCCAGACAGGTAATTCCAGTTATCACTTAAGTCTTTGTTTGCTACTAGTCAATCGCATAAGCTTTCTTAGAATAGTGCAAGTCACTAAGTAAGCACCACCAAAAAAGCATGACTCCATTGTACCTAATTCAACGTTTCGAAACCGACTACACTTCCAGTACCTGAGAAGTTACCACGGATAACGTTATGAACTTGCCACCCCCAAGCCAGAAGTATGGACAGTGTTAAACACTTCAGTCCGTCTCCCTGCAGCACGCTTTCACACAGCCACAGTATATTATACACCTCAGAGACTGGCAGCTTAGTTGTCTGTTGCAAACCGGGAACACGAGTTTGCGTGTGGAGCTAACAAAACCAGCGTCCTTGTGTGTATTCCGGTGGCATCTTCACACAAGCCGGTTTTTGTTCAGAATGTCTGATAAGAAAATAAATGGAACTATTCATTACTGAAGAAATGCACAGTAGGAAAACCCAAGGCACAAGAAATGAAAACTGCAATTTGACTCCAGTGCAGTAAATGAACAACAGGAATTGTGAACACTGCATTTGGATGTACAATTCTTTGCCTCTGCGCTGCTTAATCCTACAGAACAAGATCGTCACGACCCACAGGACGGCCTGAAAGAAAGAGCACTGGCATTTCAGAAAATTCAACCAGTCTCAGCCACTGTTTCACAACCAAAATTCTCTTTTAGAACAGCAGCACCCTATTTAAAATTTGACATTTTACACTTTTACTGGACGTCTAAGAATTACGCTCGTTTTACAAAACAACAAACGATCCCTGAGCTCAGAGTCAGCATCACCACGGCTACCATCGTCCGTCAATAGAACTTAATACCATTTATGTAACAACCACAAAAAAAACAAGATCACCCCTGCAAGTGTATACTACTACGACTCCAAAGAACAGAACTGCTGCATAAGAATCACAACTCAAAATCATTATAAAATACAACTCTGAAAGTTTGTTTTTTCAAACTCATTTAATAGGTAATACCTATAATTCTTGTGGCAAAGGCACAAATACTAAAATCTGTCGACTATCGACTTACATTTCAGATATGAGTAATGTAAAACTTGTAATTCCCACTGTACAGACTGACAGGCTCAGGAAAGTCATTGGTCAGCACCGGAAGCTAATCTCAATACTGCACAAGATCACACCCAAATACAGAAACAAAATTCCCTGTCAATTATCTCTAGAAAGTCGCGTGAAGTGATCAGCATACGCATAAGAAAGTTTTTTTTTTTTTTTTTTAAAGTGACGCAATGTCGTTCCGGCTCCTCCGCGCGGACGTTAGAAAGCATCCAGGACTAATCATCTAGCTTTGAATTAGGAGTGATAACAGGTGTGATAGAAGCGACAACCGAGACACGACAACGATGTGAGAGCTACTGCCAACTCCGTCAGTGTGTGCACTGGAAACAGTAATTTGGTCTCAACTCGAAATTTCATATATAAAATCCACTATGCCATGATTAACATTGCATAAAATTTTGCTGGGAATTCACCTCAAACAAATGCCAAGAGTCAGAATCATTCACAAGGACCAAAACAAAAAAAGCAACGGAGACACCGATCTTAAACCTTACTTTAGATGATACCTGCTTACTGACAGGCGAACACACATCACTGAGGATCACTCTCCCCTATAAATGTCAGCTAGCCGATTCCCACAACCCCTCATAAAAATAACCGAATACCCACTCGACGGCAGAGTCATTAAAACATTCAGTTGCGATTTTAGAGAAACGCACTCGCGGCTTCACGCCATAGCGCAGCGTGTGGCGCAGCCCGGAGCGCCCCGGGAGATGCCGTCTTTTCACGCAGGTTACCGTTTAGTCATACAGCCACTTAGGCGCATGCCTCAACTTGGCTCGCCTCTTACTCCGACGTGAAACTATGTTCATCTGTTGACAAAACCTACGATTTATGTTCGCATCCTTGACAGATAACGCTTTTCCATTACCGTAAATACAGACGCTACAAAAAAGAAAAATCACGGGCAACAGGTATAATAGTTTAAAGACACAAAAGTCAAAATACATATTGAGCTCAAGTCCATAATACTAATACGATCTTCACGCAACATAATAGCTGATAAAAAAGCGGCAAAAAAAAGATTGATCTTGAATAAAGTGCGGCAAAAACAGACCTAACACTCAGAAAGGAGATCTCCAACCCGTTCCCACTCAAACAAGTACATTTTACAGCCGGGATGGCGTCCCTGGCTCCAGCAACCGAGGCAGGAAGAGGGGGAAATGTAACCAAGTAAATATTTTCACGATCCACATCCTTTATAAGGAGGGTTGCTATGCAGCCTCCTTTCCTTTCTAGAAATAAAACGATCCGTCCACATGCAGCCCCCTTTAGGATTGAAGTCCGAATCAATGGGCTCCTAGCTGACAAAACAGCGGGACGCTCATTCCTGTGTCCGTCGTGTTTGCGTTAAGGCTGATAAACGGGTAAGTAAAACGTAAAGCTAAAAGTTTAACAGCAGCGTACGTCCATCCACACAGCAGCATCGCCACGCCAACCCGGTCGATTTGCCCCCACAATCACCTCAAGCAGTAAATGATCTAATGAGCCCTTTAACCCTTCCTCCGACCGCTCCGTCCCTCGCCCCATGTGGTCCCGGACAGCCGACCGGCTTAAGGTGACCGAAGGCGTGAAGGAAGCTGCTCACCTGCACCAGTATTCCGATGAGCCCCGGAGCCGGGGTGTCTCGGCGCGCCGACGGGAAGGCTGCCTCCCGGATTGCGTTGGTTTTCAGTGGGACTCTGCGCTCCGAGCGACACGCAGCCGACGCCGTGCTGCTGCTGCTGCTGCTGTTGTTGCTGTTGCTGGGCGCCACTGAAGCCGCCGATCGCGTTGGCACCGCCGTGCCCGGCCCCGGCGCCGTTACCGACACACTGGTAGAATCCGGACCGCGACCTCGACCGAGTCCTCGGGGGCTCCATGGCCGGGAGGTGGGGGTGGGGAACGGAGGTGGCAAGGGGGGAGGTGGTAGGAGGGGACTGCGACTGAGAGGAAGAGCCGGCCGTTAGGGGAAGCCTGCCGTGGCTGAGACTCCCCGCCGCCCTGGCCCCCTCCGCTCCTCCGCGATCGCCGCGCTCCTGAGGCCGGACCCCGGCGCCTTCACATGCGCTGCTCCGCTTCGGGACGGGCTCGGGGGTGGCGGGCAGCTGGGAATAAACGCGGGGTTCCTGTGTCGTCGGCTGACCCACGGCAGCGATTGGCATTTCCTCTCGGGGTTCGTCCGCTGCTCTTTTCGCACTTGAGACAGTCCGAGAAAAGGGGATAAAAAATAAATAAATAAACGAAACAAAACCAAAGTAGTTAGTTAAACGCCGCTAACAACCAGCCCCAGCTGTAGTCGAGCCGTACAGAGAAATAAGCCCCTAAAGGAAGCCGACGCCGTACTTTATCCCCTTTTGTTTTGGTGCCTCCCCCTCCTCTCCCAGAAAAAGCCCAGCTGCACCCGGGCCGAACCCAGGCTCGGTCTCCGTCACGGCCTCTTTTTACCGGGACCCACTTCCTCTAAAAGTTTAACTTTATAAACGGTCGCCCTTTTGTCTAATTTCGGTATTTTAGACTGGGTCCCGACCAGCCGTGAAACGCAGCGCTGCTAGCTGCTTAGCCCCATTACTTCCGTAAAAAAGAAGCCCATCCGCGGCTCGGCGTCTCGCGTATCCGACTAGGCGACTAGTTACCCTCGGTACTGACTGGCGCGGTGTAAAAACAAGCTATATAATTACACAGGTTAGTCAGCAGCAGAGGAAAAACGCTCGTAATCCAAACCACACGGCGCACGAATGAGATATTAGCGCTTTAGCTAAAGTTTCAGAGCCACTTTCCGTCGTTTTATACCATTGATTTCATCCACTTTGCTCAGTTTCAGTCTAGTAATCCGTCTAAAGGAAAAAAAACACACTAAAACAAACGTGGCCGATAAGCCGAGGCGTTTACGGTTTAACCCCGTTTAGCGGACGCACTAGCTGAGTCCCGACTCGCCGCTATCCGGCTAGCAGCTAGCGCTCCGCATACCCACGGAGGGAACGTCGCCAAGGAAGCCCGGCAAAGGGTCCGAAGAGAAGCTGCTAACCTTTAAAGCGCATTAAAAGGCGAGAGAAGCGAGTTCTGACGAGACTCCCGGGTGTCCCGGGCGGATTGGCGTCGCCTTTCTTCTCGATTTAAATCCCTGGCAGAGACGCGGCGACCCGGCCGTGCGCTGCGCCGCTCGGCGTCTCGCTGAAATGTGACTGAACATCAATGAGGCTCCGCGTCCCCGCCGAGGCCAGGCCAGACGCATCGACACGGAGCAGGGAAAGTTCACTCAGGATCAACCTCAGCCCGTTTCCCCCCTATAACTCGTCAGCCATTGGGCCAAAATATGACTGGCTGAATAACACAATATATCGAAAATGTATTTAAACTGATTTCATGCGCCCACGCAGAATAATCTAACTCATGATGAGGTAAATGCCAAATACAAGGGGAAACAGGGGGCACTTATGTCACGTACAGTGTTTATTTACGATGCTTAAAATGTTGCCATTGATTTGCTTCTATAAACGTAAAAAACACAAGAAACATTTGGTTTGGTGTTTCCACTCTTTTATTTCAGGGTGAGTTTTGAACTTGTGTTGATGGATTGATTAGTTATGTCTGAATAGCTTTCCGCACTGAACAGTGGATAAGCGAGGAGAGAGAGAGGGGGCATAGAGTTGTAAATTATTTAATCATCCGGAATACTACCGTCCTAGCTTTGGTATCCGTGACATTGGTTGTATGTGCCATTGTGTAATTTTAGCGAGACTAAGAGGCTACGGCTGTATATATATAAAATCGAGCTGTGTTTATTTGATTTTGAACAACTAAATAGTGTTCAGAAGAGTAGTCAACAATGTATTGTAAGCGTTTATGGTGCAATATCCACATATGCCAGAATAGGTTACTACATAGTCTTAAAGCAACGGGAAAACTATGCATATTTCTCACAAATTAGGCTTAAACCTATTTTTATGATCCAATAAGATGTTATTCATTTCTAAAATATGACACGAATTAACACAAAGTGCTATATGAATAAAGTGTGACACGAATGTACTGTTAATATCAAATAAATGTTTTCATAAATGTTTCTGATTTAACACATCCTTAGCTGAATAATTGTCTGTTAAGAAGCCCTTGCATAACTACTTTTTGTACAACCTTAGTCACCAATTTTGCCTAAATATACATTTCATGTCAATATCAACTCTGGGAATAGTAATTTGGATATTGTATGTTGACAAATACAAAAAAAGTCACGATTTGCTATAAAGTAGAGCAAACATCTCCTATGTTTTCCTGTCTGGACACAAGATAATTATTAAAAGGTTACGTGGTTTGTGTGACGTTTACGAGAAGAATAAAGTGGACCAAAATAAATTTACTGAGCATGTTGACTTCTGCTTTGATTCATTCAATCCTGGGTCCTCCTGCTACAGTCTGTAGCTTAATGCCTGTCCTGAGGTTATATCTAGAGAATAAGTGGTGCGTAATCGCCGATTGATGGTAGAAGCGCGCAGCTTCTACTTGCTCCACATTAAATGGACCTGCCTCTTCTTCAGCAGCACCGTATGTCCATGTGAACAGAAAAGGCAGTTTCGAAAAACACGAATGTAAACGAAGCTATCCACATCTTTGGTGGATGCATTGATTTTGCTTGTAAATCTTTTATTTTTAGGAGCCACGCCTTGTGGTAAATGATATAACAGCGGCGGACGATTTCTGCACAATACAGCCACAGAACAGGTTTCGGTAAAAACAGACATCAGAAAATAAATCACTCGTCAGCAAGTAATCTTTCGCGTTAGAAATGTTTTGTTTGTGTAAACATTTATTGCCGTCGCTGTTTGTTCTGTCAAGTTTTATAAAGTGCTTTTATGCAGGACAACCCTTTCTTTTATGATTTTGCTTGATTTAATTTTATTGTGAAACGTGCCATTGTTAGATTATTTCAAATTATTTCTTCGAGGGCCTCCGAAGGAAGACCATTGATATGAGATAACTATCGCGGCGTTTGCTGGGTCATCCACTGAAGAAAGAAACACCCATTCCGTTGTAGCAGTAATATGTTTGGGGCGAATAATATGTAAATACAATTTCCCATTTAAGCAGAGCACAGCATTCTGTGAGAGATGAATGAAGGAACGGTTACTGCCTACAGCTCCTCTATCGCCCCAGATGATCCAGGTGCTGCTTGCGTTTATATGTTTGTTCCAGAGCTGGCAATTCTAATAAAGAGAATTTCCAGATTGGTTGACTCAGACACAAACCTGCCCTTTTCTTCCCTCTTATTCCCACTTATCATCCTCTTGTTCTTCTACACATACCCCCCACCCTTCCAGACACACACACTTTGATGGTATGCAAATAACAGCCCCCCCCCCCTCTTTCTCTCTCTTTCCAAGCCTTCACACTCACACTCATGCAGTGGCACCCAGCGAATTAATATGGGCAGGCGAGGAAGATCAATTTTTCACCCAGTGTGCCGCTGATATTCATAAGATAAGGGTAGAGATTCGGGGGAGGCGGGGAGGGGGGAGCCGAGGGGTGTGAGCGGTTTGGGGTGGGGGATGGTGAGAAAGTCAGAAGGCTTTGAGGAAAAGGAGTTGGGGGGGGTTCTGCTGGCATGGACCCTTATTGGTTTGTTTAAATAGTGGGGGAGGGGCACCATACAGACGCACACACCAGCTGTACTGAGAGAATGAGAAGGAGAGAGAGAGAGAGAGAGAGAGAGAGAGAGAGAGAGAGAGAGAGAGAGAGAAACAAAGGCACTGCTCCAGACATACCTGAGACGGACGTAAAAACCCGAAGGCTATGAAGTAACAGCAGGGGTCTAATGTAAGGCACTACCCAGGTTTGTAAGTAGCTACATTAAAAGCAGACATCTAAACAGGCAGCTACTAATTTCATAACCCTCACTTGGGACTGGGTAGCATTTTAGTGCATATTACTCAAATCGTGGCATATGAAGATGATGCTATTATTCTCTATAAACCATCTCTTTCATTATTAAAATATGGTTCATAAATGTTTCATAAAACAGACTGTAAACGTCCAGTAATGATCTACCCCTTCATGCCTGATCAGTTGCTTATTACTGACTCGAGGTACCAGCAGGCAGGTCTACGTGTGACAATGTGGACGCGCCGTGCCTTACCTACCTAGTGTCAGGAGGCGAGCTGGATGGGAACGATGACATGCAGTGTGATCTCATGCGCAGATGTTGCCTTTCCAAACAGTATTGACATAAAGAACTAGGAATGTTCACCGCTAGTAAACAAACGGAGTGTGCCGGTATAACATTCTGATCGTAGGTTTGTATGGTTTGCGTGTCATCCATCTGTATGGAAACTAATGTAATCAGAGTCAAAATATGTGGTTTTGTTAAGGGTTCTATGTTCGTTCATCTTCCCTCTGCCTTTGGAAGAGCGATCCTTTTTAAGAAGATTACCTGTCAAGATGACAAGTCTCAAAAGAAGTTTTCCCATCGAGTTCATTTTGAGATGGAATTGATGCGTCGCCTTTTGACGGACATCCATTTATTAATAATTTATTGTATTTTAATCTCACACACAGGAACGTCTGGTCCTTTATTTAACGCGCCAACGTTGTTTAACTTCCCGTTCTTTCCCCGAAACAGTTAATCCGGTGAATTGCACGTGGGGAGAGAAACATACATACTTCTGTTTTATTTTGCACTTTTTCTTCTGCTGTTCATGCACAATGCGTATTCACTTTCCCTATTATGCTTTTCCCCTGTGAGCTGTTTTTTCAAAATGATCTTTATTTTTCCTTCCCTCTGATGAGTTTCCTTGTGGTATGGCTGGCAGTGCAGTCCGTATTGTTTTGCAGCAAGAAGAGATTGACGCATTTCAGGGGAGATTCAACCCCCACCCCCCCCCTTCCCGGTTCCCCTAACAAATATGAGTGGCTGCGGTATTATTATTTGCACGCTTCATATTAAAATGTTTTTCAGGGCTGAGATGGAACCCACTAGAACATGCTAGATTTTAGACATAGAGGACAGAAATTCTGAGCATCCTAGTTGTAAAAAGAAGATGTGAGCAACCTACAGCCAAAAACAACAACAACGAACAGTAACTGATCTGGCTGAGTCAGATAGAAGAATTTGGTTTTGTGGTATATACAGTATGTGCTGTATGTATAGTATAAGAGAGAAACTGCTTAACTCGCTTATTTGGATGTCTGCCTCTGACAAGTCTTGAGGCTGTACTTCTGTCACACTGGAAAGAAGGCTTTTAAACTGGTCTCCTCCCTGCTTTGCTTTCTTGAGTTATAGTCCTAGCATTAAAATATTCCACAGGATTATTTTTTTTCTAGGTTCTGTTAGGATTTTGCATACCCGGGCGACATCCCAATTTTGTGACATTTATTGTCGGTTAAGCTGTTACAACTTGTCAGTGTTCTTCTAATTTCCTGTAAAACTTCAAACTGCGAACTTCTAATGCAGCAATATACCTCTTCGACTGTGAAGACCAAACTGTTTTGCCTTAAATTCTCTGCACATTTTCACTGCTCTGTCTTCATTTGCTGCGTGAGGCTTTTCTCTCGTCATCTGCAGATTTTCCAAGTTCATTAAATATGCTGGATTTTGCTGTTAATGTAGAGATGCAGGAGAAGTGGCTGCGATCACGGGCTGCTCCGTTGAATGCAGCGATCCAGCTAGCGATCAGTAGCTCTGCCTTATTGCTAGAAAATTCTGTAAATAGGTGCAGAGGTGATTGAAGGGACTCTTGGGGCCCCAGGCATGATAACATGATTACCTTTATTTTACTGTGAAGTGTAAAATTATAATATCAACAAAGAGATTGTCTTGCGTTTATTTTCACTTTTCTTCAAAAACAGAATACACAAATAAAGCAGATTTGTCATTGCAATGTACTATGTAATCGGCCCCAGATCACTGTCTTCCCTGCCTGTCCTATCACTGCACCCCTGTATATGTGTATAAAATACAATACCTTGGAGTGGCCAATAAATCCTGTCCTAGGTCTTTCCCTTCGACCAATGGCACCCACGCCAGTTTCACTATGTGTGCTGTCAGCCATTCAGGATTCATTCCTGCCAGCTGTAGGGCTCAGTGAGTGAAGTTACACACTTTGAGTAGAGCTTCATTCACTCGATTCCACCCACAGCCTGGTAGAGCAGACTCTTCAATTCTGGACCTCAATTCCAAATCCAGGCCGTGTTTTCAGTTCTCCAGGGTAGTTAGTTTAATAATCACTGATTCTGATTGGTCAGAGGCTTGACACCTGGCTCACAGGTGAAGGAAGGCTGGAAAATCAGCAGGACTCGGTCCTTGAGGACCGTGATTTAAATAGCCTTGCTGTACAGCAATGAGATGGAGACAAACCCAATCATGGTGCGATGGTGGTGCAGGAGGTAGTGCTACCGTTCGGCAAGGGTTGCAGGTTCGAGCCCCGGGTCCTCCTGACCCCATCGAAGTGTCCTTGAGCAAGACACTGAACCCCAAATTGCTCCCGGTGAGCTGGTTGGTGCCTTGCATGGCAGCCTCCGCCACCGGTGTGTCAAATCGTGGTGTGAATGTGAGGCATAGACTGTAAAGCGCTTTAGTACTCGTAAGAGTAGCAAAAAGCGCTATATAAATGCAGTCTATTTACCATCATTCAGTCCACACAAGGAAACATGGGTCAATCTTGCGTTCTCTAGCTAGGCTTCACTCACAGTCTTTATATGATAGATATGGACCTTAACCGACTGTCTTTTTCCTTTTGGAATTCTGTCATGTTCTTGGGTTTTACTTCCTTTGTTGTCTTCTCGGAGAAAGGTTACGG